ATCCTATAGATCACCCTCACGGTGGTGGAGAAGGTAGAGCACCCATTGGTAGAAAAAAAAAAATTAACTCCTTGGGGTCATCCTGCACTTGGAAAAAGAAGTAGAAAAAATAATAAATATAGCGATACTCTTATTCTTCGTCGTCGTAAAAATAGCTAAGCTAAAAAAAGAAAGAAAAATAAAGGATAGTTGGCAATGACACGTTCAATAAAAAAAAAGGTCCTTTTGTAGCTGATCATTTATTAAAAAAAATAGAAAATCTTAACTTAAAAAAAAAAAAAAAAAATAATAACATGGTCTCGAGCATCTACAATTGTACCTACAATGATTGGTCATACAATAGCTGTTCATAATGGACAAGAACATTTACCAATTTATATAACAGATCGTATGGTTGGTCACAAATTAGGAGAATTCGCTCCTACTCGAACTTTTCGAGGACACGCAAAAAATGATAAAAAATCCCGTCGTTAATTAGGAGATAATTTTTAATGCAAACTAATACTTCTAATCAAAAAATACGTGCTGTTGCTAAACATATACATATGTCTCCACATAAAATACGAAGAGTAATTAGTCAAATTCGTGGTCGTTCTTATGAGCAAGCCCTTATGATATTAGAGTTTATGCCATATCGCGCATGCAATCCAATATTACAATTACTTTCATCTGCCGCTGCAAATGCTAATCATAATTTTGGATTAAGTAAAACAAATTTATTTATAAATGAAATTCAAGTGGATAAAGGTACTTTTTTTAAAAGATTTCAACCTAGAGCTCAAGGACGTGGCTATCCTATACATAAACCTACTTGTCATATAACTATTGTACTGAACGTTATTCCTAAATAATAAAAAATTGAAAAAAATTTGTTAATATAATTTGAAAAAAAAATATATATATGGGACAAAAAATAAACCCACTTGGTTTTAGACTTGGTATAACACAAAATCATCGCTCGTATTGGTTTGCAAAACCAAAAAAATATTCAAAGATTTTTGAAGAAGATAAAAAAATACGTAACTGTATTGAATTGTATGTGCAAAAACATATAAAAAATTCTTCAAATTATGGAGGAATTGCTCGTATTGAAATTCAAAGAAAAACAGATTTAATTCAAGTTGAAATATATACAGGATTCCCTGCTTTATTAGTAGAAAGCCGAGGTCAAGGAATTGAACAATTAAAATTAAATGTACAAAATATATTATCTTCTGGAGATCGAAGACTCCGAATGACTTTAATCGAAATTGCCAAACCATATGGAGAACCTAATATTCTTGCAGAATATATTGCTTTACAATTAGAAAGCAGAGTTGCTTTTAGACGAACAATGAAAAAAGCTATTGAATTAGCAAAAAAAGGAAATATAAAAGGAATTAAAATACAAATAGCAGGCAGACTTAATGGAGCCGAAATTGCTCGTGTTGAATGGGCACGAGAAGGTAGAGTTCCTTTACAAACAATACGAGCACGAATTAACTATTGTTATTACGCAGCTCAAACAATTTACGGAGTATTAGGAATCAAAGTTTGGATATTTCAAGATGAAGAATAATTCCTTTTTTTTTCAATCAAATCACTTTAATTATAAATTTAACATAAAAAAAAAAATTGCTATGCTTGTGTGTGTGACTCGTTTATTTCAAAATGTTACTTAAAAAACAAAATTGAAAATCTAGTTTTGACTAGAAAAAAATTTATGATTTTATATTAGAAAATATAAAATACTTTCCACAAATTTTCTTGTGAAGCGAAAAAAAAAAAAAAAACTAATTCATAAAAATTGTAGGGTTTTTTTGTTATAGTATTAAAACGCAAAAAAAAATAAGAGCTTTATTTTAATAAAAAAACTAAGAAAATTAAAAAGAAAAAAAAAAGCTTAATTATAGAAAAAAAAAAAAACCTAAACAAAATGTATAAAATCATAAAAACGAAGGAATCTATAAATAATAAAAACTTTTTTGTATTTTTATTTATCAGATAGGATGGCGAAAAAAAAAAAAAAATAAATTTGAAATAACTTAAAATAGAAATTTAATTTTATTACAAATAAAAAAATTATTAAAGAGTAAATATTCGCCCATGAATTTTTTTATTTAAAATTTTTTAAATTTTATATATTTTTATTCATGAGGAGCCGGATGAATAAAAACTTCATGTCCGGTTTTGAAGTAGCGAAAAAAATCGACTATAACCCTAAAAGAACAAAATTTCGTAAACAACATAGAGGAAATTTAAAAGGAATATCCACTCGAGGCAATTTTATCTGTTTTGGTAAATTTGCCCTTCAAGCACTCGAGCCCTCTTGGATAACATCTCGACAAATAGAAGCAGGCCGCAGAGCTATAACTCGGTATGTTCGTCGAGGTGGTAAATTATGGATTCGTATATTTCCTGATAAACCAATTACTATTCGACCTGCAGAAACACGAATGGGTTCGGGGAAAGGATCTCCAGAATATTGGGTAGCTGTAGTTAAACCTGGCAAGATACTGTA